ATGCCGGTAGTTCTGGTACTGGCCGTGGCTCCAATGTGATGGGTGGAAACCGAAACCAGCAATACGGGTGGCAACAGTAACGACATGATAGTAGTAATCTGCATTCGACTCTTGAGAAGTACGCAGTTGATCAAACATGCACTGGTTCTTTTTGGCTTGTACCCACGTACTATAATTTTCCTGCCAGAAATGATTGGTCAGTTTCAATTTGCATACAATTGGTTAGAGAAAAGCCTCGAAGGTGCTTTTAAGCTCGAGCTGCTGGTGAAAAAAATTTCTTGTATGCGCGCATGGATTGGCATTTTCTTGTAATCTATCTTTCCTTGCGATGTTCTATGAACAGTTTGAGTCCTGTGCTGCCTAGCAATTGTGATCAGGTAGTAATAGCAAATTGTCTGCAAAAATATTCTTTGTTCCTGGAAAGATTGAACCCTCCGGGAAATGAGAAACCAGTTAGTATGGAGAAAGGCGAAAAATGTGCAATACCTATTAGCAACCGTTCTCCTTTTTTATTTATAGTTTCAGTAGTTGTCATGTTTATTAAACACTCAGAATGTAAGTGAATACTGCTATATACGCATGAAATATGAATCTTGGTTCATGCAAAGGGAATCTTTTTGACAGTTTCTGTAAATGCAGCAATTACATTTTCTAGTGCGTGAATGCTACTTGAAATATCCACAAAACTTGTTCTTCTTGCCCATGCCCATGCTCATGCAGGTTGCTGGCAGAGAAATCAAATCAAACCATCGAGGGAAACATCACTATTGACGTGCAGTGGGAAGAGTGGGTTCGATGCGATTAGCGTCCGGGGTCCTCAGAACATCCTTTGCGGTGTGCAGTTGTTCTAATTTGTCAAGAACATCAACCATGGATGGCCTATTTTTGGAATCCGTATGGAGGCAATTAAGAGCAAGCAAAGCTGCGGCTTGAGCTTCTTTTCTCGAATATTGACCACCCAGCCTTGTATCCATTATCCTCAACACTCGCCTACTGTCGCTTAGGAACGGTTTCCCCCAATCAACTAGTGTTTCTTCCACTCTCCCAACTTTCTCGTGGTCCAATGCACGTCTGCCTGTAAGCAGTTCTAGCAAAACAACTCCAAAGCTGTATACATCACTCTTCGGACTCAAGTGGCCTGTTTTAGGCAGAAGGCGGAGTAAGAGACTAATGCAGAATTCCTATAATAACTTATCATTTCCTAAACAATAATATCTTTGTTCTAGTCTAGAGAGGGACAATAAATACGGCCCTACGTGAGCAAAGAAGAATTGATAGATGTGTAACTATTCAATTTCTTCTCTTACTTGACATGCTTTTATGGATCAGGAAACAATAAAGGATTAATAAACGAAATCTAACCAACCTGTTGCTACATATTCTGGGGCAGCATAGCCTCGGGTACCCATTACCCGGGTCGAAACATGAGTCTTGTCTCCCGTGGGACCCTCCCTTGCCAAGCCAAAATCTGAGAGTTTTGCATTGAATTCCTAAAGAGGAAGGAGGCGGAGAGAGATGAGTATCTTCAGTGGGGATGTTTTTCCCTTAATAAGACAAAGTTACTTACTGAGTCAAGCAGAATGTTGGAAGCCTTCAAATCACGGTATATAACGTTAGGTTCAAAACTGTGTAAGAATGCTAATCCTCGTGCCACATCAACTGCAATGTTCATTCGAACACGCCAAGTAATAGGTGTAACACCTTCTGTAAAGACAGAATGGCCAGTATCATTATGAATTCATAGGGCAAAATATTGCAACAACATATGAAACTTATTCAAAATTAAAAAAGCATTATGCAAACGCTTGTACTTCTCCAAAGCAAGAAATCATAGTCTAGAGGAAAATGGTTGTAACTAAAGGAATTAAACAACTATCATTTTAACTCCCTCAAGAGTAAACCTGCCAGGAGGACTACTTCTACTTTGTATCCGTTCTCAGATATGGTTTCATATTTGTAAATGCTTTGATAAAAAGAAAAAAACACCTTCAATATCAGAATAAATCACTGTATTCAAATAGAACGTTCCTGCATGTATGTTCTTTCTTAACGAAATCGTCTTACAACTAGCTTCCTTTTAATGCGTCCAATCACGAGAAGCATCAATTGTTCAAATCCTGCTAATTGAGTAACACAATTTGTTATCCAATGACAGTAGGAAACAGTTCCCATCTAGTCTTATCTGCTTGTGGCCCAATTTTACTGAAAACAGCATAATTCGCTGTCTTATAACTTGGGAATTGGTTAAAGGGGTACTCGAGTTATTTACAGCCCAAGGATCACTTAGATGTTTCCACTTTAAAAGCCAACTCCTATAAGAAATTACTTTCTTCATTTTCCTACACATTCTGGATAGACAATGCTTCTATTTCGCAAGTATCTTAAATTGAATTCCTTATACCATTTTTAATTTTTAATATGCTCGATTTAAATCGCTAAAGGTTGGGGGAAATCATAAATTGAATAGAAATGAGGCAAGAGCTTAAAACTTGAATAAGAGAAGAAAGTTGTTGAAATAAAGAACAAAGGCATAAACTCGAAAATTAGGAGTCTGTTATCGGATACTAACTTCTAAACAAATGATTTTCCAGACTTCCCCTTGGCATAAACTCATAAACTAGAAGTCTGTTATCGGATTCTGAGCAATACCCAATGAGCCTGACAAGATTTTCATGGCGAAGCAGGCCCAGATAGTTAACTTCCGCCTGAAAATGTTGAAATGAAAACGAGGTTAAGGTGAATTAATTGGAAAACAGATTATGATTGATGACAGGGTTCATAGTTTACGTACAAGCCATTCCTTGTAGCCTTGAAGGCTCTCGCGCTTGAGTCTCTTGACGGCTACTACAATTCCGGTTCCGGGTTTAGTAGGAACATAAGTGTGCTCATCAATCCATCCTTTAAAAACACATCCAAACCCTCCCTCGCCAAGTAGACTTTCACTCCGAAAGTTCTTGGTGGCATTCTTCAGATCATTGTAGCTAAAAGACTTGACAGCACAGGCGCCAGATTGATCGAATTTTGGTTTGACGAAAGACGCACTAGATGTAAAACTTAAAGTTTTAAGACTAGAGTTCGTCGATTCCACGTTCGACTTGCTATTTGGGTCATCACCTCCTGCCGGGAAAATAAAAGAACTGAGGAAATCCAAAAACGAAAAACAATAAATTCGGCTAAACTTTGCCACCCCCCTGCTTGAACCTCGTCGCTATAAATGGCAATGTACTCGCAATCAGCAACGGACTTGATAGCAGCAGGCTTTATGAAATAACTATAAGGGCCAAATTAAAACGGCACGGAGATCTCAAAATTGACAACAATGGTTCCGATAGAGAATTGCTAGGCCAATACACATCCCACGATCAGCACAGAAATCCTGAGTGGTCGCAACTCAACACGAAAACACTCGTTTCTCCCTCAACTTGAAGCTAATAACTCGTAACTAGATCATGACCAGCACAACGATCTAGTGATCGTGGACAGCTTATGAAAATTTAAAATAGTTAAAAAGAAAAAGAGGATGAGAGAGAGGGAGAGAGGGTTCACCGGAAACAATGCTTGAAGAAGCATGAGCGAGCTTGGCAGGTTTGGCGCAGCAGATTCCCATGATGGCAACAGAGGAGGAGACGAATGAAGGGGAAAGAGTTGGGAAACCGGAAGGATGGAAGCGGCAGAAAGGTCAACAGACATATATAATAAACACTCCATAAAGAAGAGAAGAGTGTGATCCTGTTCCATCATCTTCTCAGCTTTCCATCTTTGGTTCTCAGTCAACGAAAGAATTCAACGTTTGAATCACTCAAACCCACGATCTCCATCTTCTCTCAATCCTAAAAAAATCAAAGACGGCCGATCACAAAGCAATAATCAGCATTGAAAAATTCAAACCCTGGGCCTTGGCGGCAGCGGTCCGCTCACGGCACCAACTCAACTTCAACTTCTCCATTTTACTCTCACTCTCCCATCGCCATCAAGCCCTAATCTCTTTCCCTTTCACAATAGATCCATTATCCACTCTGAGTTGGACATGACCGTATATCCATCATTAAGAGCTCCTTTTATATGAATCTTTTTCTTTATATCTTACATTACAATCTTGATGCCTTTTCTCTAATAAATCCTAAATGTTATAAATAAATAAATAAATAAATAAAACAACCATTTGTCTTTTCTTTTTTGATAAAATTTTTAATACCTTTTAGCTTGAGAATTTTGTTTCCTACAACTCTTCATGTGCATGTTTCATTTATGTTAAATAACTTACAAAAACGACAATAACAAAAGTAGTATTTTATAAAAGTCTTTGGGTCAAGACAAAATGATTACTAAGTTTTTTTTTTCTTTTAATCTAATTAGACCATTTAATTGGTCAAAGAAGTACTCGTAAAAATGACAATCTATCGACAAGTAAAAATTCATCTTTGCACCCAAATTTGATTCAAGTGGTTTACCATGATCCTTCATTTTAATAATGGTAGATTCAAATCTCCTCTCCTCATTTATATTAAAATATTTTTAAAAAATAATAATAATAAATTTCGAATCGAATAAAATAGAACTGGATCCGTATCAGTTTTCTCCTTTTTCTCATCTTGGTTTCAATTTTTACATTTTTTTGGTCTGATGATTTAGAGAATTCAGATTATTTTATAAAAATTGACTTGACTTCCTCTGTTTTGTATATTATATAGCACATCAAAGCTTGCTTTCAGTTCATACTTTCCAAACTGCAACATTTCAAAAATAGCTGAGGCATGTTTCAAATGCAGAACTACATACTAACATGGTGATTCTCTATTTCAAATTTACTCATGATTACTAAAAGAATTGCAAATATTTCTATCTCTGAGAACCTGAATTCGAAAAGTAAGATAAAAAACATCACAACTCATTTTTGGGAGCTTTCCATGTTTTCCAACAATATAACGGAAAACAATCGATCGAACACACAAGAGTTGATGGGTTCGAAATACATGTCACGAAGCATTTACAATATTTGGTTCTTCACATTTCGAGCTGCGTTGAGTTTCACTTTGTTTCTTGCATGTCTTCCTCAGTCTTCCAAACAACATCCTCCAGGGAGGTGGAGAGGTTTTTGTAGAACTGCAAAAATGATACAAAATCATGTAGTTCCAAATAACAAGTTTATAGAATCATAAAACTAAAAGAGAGTTCTTTCTCATCCTATATGTATATTGGTTCACCCAAGTCCTAATTTCATAAGGAAATCCATATAACTTCCTTATTCTTTACTTTGCAGAAGGACTAGTGTTAGGGTAAATTATCGCGTTCATCAGATATGGACGACAAACGATTTTTTGAACTAGTAGAGGAAGTACCTTGTGAAACTCCAAAGTGTCACCCTTTGCTTTTCGCATCTCAACCACATGAACAGAAGGTGCCACTTGCAAAATCTGTTCAAGAATGAGAAAGAAGTGTTAGATTTTGTGCAAATTCTCTCTCAAAAACACAATGCTTCATCATTTCATACCTCTGTGGCAACATTAAGGTTTCCCTTCCGACCGGCTTTCACATTTTCAAGCCTCATCTGATAAAGAAATAGCATGATTATTCTTATTGATAAGTATCAATCAGCAGAAAATATGCAACTCGTCGTTTAGCAGAAGTAGGACTATCATGTTTGCTCACCTTGTAATTTTTCTTTTGTACATCAAAACCAAGGGGTTTGGCAGCTTCTTCAATCTTATGTACAATTTCATTAGCTGAGCACTTTGATGTGAACCTTGTTTCTCTCTTGAATTCCTGCTCCAACAAGACAAGTGCAACCCATGAAGGTGAAAATGCACAAATCCATAGTTCATAATACAAAATAATTTTTATAAGCTTGAGCCAGCTGAGAGCTCCATGTGAAACAGAAACTTGCTACATTATTTGCTCGAACCCTACACAGAAATTCATTTTATCCAATATTCGTGATTGGCAAAAGAAGAATATCTAAAATGCAAACCTGTTCTGTACCAAACAAATTTGCCAGATTGAGCCCTTTTGACATTGAAATCAACTCAAAGGCATTCATGGCTACTGGCTGTTCTTCCTTCTTCTCTGTCACATGATGCTCCTGTGAAAAAAGTTTATTAACATTGAGAGATTATGAGCAACAAAGCGATAATAAAATACTCAGACGTCGGAGAAATGCTCATGCAATCAAATTTGACATACTTCTGAGTCTTTAAAGACAGCTTCTACATCATCCAAGTTTGCAATCTTATTCTCCTCGAAAACAGGGGGCTTATAGTCTTTCTTAAACCATTCATCTTCCAAAATTTCAGGTACAGTGATGCGCTGCAGAAGAAGAAAATTAAACTTGTAATCCATAAAACTACGTTCTACATGATAAATGCATTGAAAAAAAGAAGTAATCAAACAATTGCGTGTACACATGGGCAAAGTTTGTTTATTTATGTTTCATATGTAGGCGTCTAACTTCGATGACATCATTACTAACCTTCCTAAGGTTAACATAAAAGAGAGCATGAGGAGCAACACGAAAGGAAGTGACATCATAACACTAGAAGCATGGGACTTACAGTCATTGGATTGGGATCCAAAATTCGAGTTATCAATTTCATGGCATCTAATGAAAGCCATGGAGGACAGGAAAATTCAGCAGCCGAGATCTGCACATAATAGAAGTGAACGTTGAAGAATGCAGAGAAAATTAGGATTGCACAATAGGATTTAAATTTGAAAAAGAAAAATGGAGAAGGTAAAAAATAATGCTCACTTTTTTGTACAGGTTCATAAGATTAGAATCATCAAAAGGCAAGTAACCTGCAAGCAATACGAAGAGTATGACTCCACAAGACCATAAATCTGCAGTTGCACCATCGTAGCCTCTATCATCAAGGACCTAAATATCAAAACGTTCGTTATAGCACCTGTACATATGAATGCGTATAAATATAAAAGGTTTATGAAGCATCTGCACCTCAGGAGCAACATAGTTTGGAGTTCCACAAGTAGTGTGAAGCAGGCCGTCATCCTGCCAATCACATTTTTTAGGAAAAAGATTGAAAAAATCGTTTAAAGCACCAGAGACATCTCAATAGCACACCAACTGAACTATTCTTCTCATTTTATCCCAGAATACAGATCTTATTCCATGAAAAGGGCAGGGGAATAATGATATGTGACATCGTTTAGTAAGAAGTTCTGTTGTTTTACATAAACTCCTGAATGGCTATAAAGAATCATGTTAAAGAATTCCCAATTTGTAAACAAGAAGCAATAAAATACTGAAACATGAGTCAGGATGATGAAGTCATAACTGATTTTTGGTGGTACTTGAGATTTGGGTAATAGTTCCATTTGGTCCCTAGGAATCAAAATCTTATAGTTTAGTCCCAGGACTAAATATTTTGTTAATTGCTTGCACCAAAAAGTGACATGGAATTTTAAAATAAGATTTAACGCTCATGTGGGAGGTGATGTGACAAATTCTTAAGGTAAAAAAGTAACAGAAAAATCCCTCATATTTCCCATCCCTCCTATCACCCTCCGCTGCCCCCACCATGTTAGCCGCCAGAGCCCATCCCTCTCTCTCTTCCCCTTCCCTTTCCCACTAGCACCCTACTCCCATAGCCGCCACCCACCCTGGTGAGAGAGAGAGAGAGAAATGCGGCAGGGGTTGATGAGGGTGGGAGGGAGGTGTTGGTGATGGTAGTTGTGTTTCTGGGGGAGGAGTGGAGAGAGGTTTTTTCTTAAAAAAAATAATAAATTAAGAAAATGGCCACATCAGCATTTAAATTCATTAAAAAATCTCACATCATGTTTAGAGCATTTTGATAGGAATGGTCTTTGGAGTTATTAGGGATATAATTAGAGTATTAAAGGTATATTAGTAATTAGTTAGGAAAGTTGTTAGTAGGGTTATGTTATAAATAGAGTGAGGGGGAATGAATGTATGCAATTATTTAGTGTAGTTTAGGCTCAAGTGATCTCAAGAGGGGAGGATCCGTACGTCACGACTTGGAGATTATTGTAATCCTTTTTATCTTTCTCTCATATTTCTTAAACCTTAAGGATTAAAGTGAAGATTTAAAACATGGGGACCACAGACCACAAACCTAGAGACAAAAAAGGAATTTACTCGAGAAAATAATATGATTTGAGCACTATTAGGAACCACCGTTGATAACCAAATATATTTAATTTTATTTAGTAACAGTCTTTCGAGCTATAAAGTCATAAGAATCCTAGTCATGTGCGAGTAAATTCATAACTAAGCTTGACCAATAATTCACTTGTAACCTCAATGTCTACCACTAAAGCAGGAAGGTCCACGTTTTATCTAAGCTATTGGTCCTTTCTATCACTCGAACATGTTTTCAATGTTCTTTTATGTAGTTTTACACCAATTTCCAGACCACACAACACTAATCAGCAGGAAGGAAGATGAAACTAAAACGAGAAAAGAATGGAGTATTGAATGCATTTTACCTTAACTTGTTGTGACAGTGCACTCAATCCAAAATCAGAAACTTTAAGATTCCCGTAGGCATCTAACAATAGATTTTCTGGCTGCAAATAAGAACCATCGTGGTAATTAACTAAAGATTATTTATTTCTGTACTCAAATTCAAGAAATTAGGATATTAAATGGCATGGTACCTTAAGATCCCGGTGGTAAACACCCCTGCTATGACAATAATCAACAGCATTTATAAGTTGCTGGAAATATCTCCGTGCCTCATTTTCACTCATCCGCCCATGATTTACCTTCACCATGAACAGTAAAAGGGTTAAGATAGAATTTGAACGTAAAAGGTCGACAGAATACCAAGGTTCAAAGAATGGTGAATCAGGATTGTCTGCCTTTCTCTTCTCTTTTACAATTTCTCTCTCTTTATGGAAACCGGACCTTCATTGAGAAAAAAAGAAAGAATACAAAAGGGGCGGATATTTTCTTCTGCCTCTTTTCATTGTAACAGTACAGTTCCTACCACCTTGGATAAGGAATCTTGAAAAACTTAAAACTAATAGAGAGAAGTTAGAATGGATATTATGAGAAATGGAATACTCACAATTTTATCAAACAGCTCTCCTCCGGTAACAAACTCCAAAACAATAAATATCTTTGTTTTGCTCCCCATCACCTGAAAATAAAGAGAACTGTTAAGAAAAATAGCATCACAAGAATATGAATCAAGCATTAACTGATAAGAGTACTTCGAAGAATTGTTTTTAACAAAGGGCCTCTGAAGAAAATAGAGCACTCTCCATTTGCAATTACTGCCCTCAAATTAAGACTACCACTAGGACTAGCCAGATTTAGGTCAGAATCCTTTTAGAAGATACGCCAGATCACAATATTTCCATATAGCCTAATGCTTGATGGTATATAAAGAAAAAATAAAAGAAAAGTTTGTTGAAGGTGAGAGAGGGAGAGAGATACCTCATACAATTGGACGACATGTGGATGCTTTATTAGTTTCATTGTTGCTATTTCCCGCTTGATCTGTAAAAGCATTAAAAAACCTTTAACTTTGCTCTTAACTGAAACAGGTTCCTATATATAAAAGAACATTGGTTAAAGAATCAGTCTCCAGGTCTTTCCTTTTTTTCCCTTTTTTTTTCTTTTCCTTTTGTCTGGGGAGAGGGGGTGGTATGGGGTGGCATAAGATGCAGAAAACAAAGATCTTGAAGAAGAAGAAAGGAAGATATCACACTATAGGAGTTTGAACTAATAACCTCACGTTATAATGTTAAAACTACCACTAAATCCAAAAGTTCAACCTGTGAAAACTTCAATTTTTATTCATATTCTTAACTGTCATCAGCAATTTTCAAGTAAAATTAGGAATTTTATATTATATACAAATTCAGTGAATGACCAAAAGAAAAAATACAGAACAATTTACAATCATAAACAACCTGTTCAGCCATCTTGTGCTTGAGAACTTTCTCTTTGTCAAGGATCTTTATTGCTACATGTTCCCCAGTCTCGGAATTTTTGGCAAATTTCACTTTTGCAAATGTACCCTCGCCAATTGTTCGACCGATTTCATATTTTCCAACAAGACGCTTGACTTTTGGTTGATTTACACCTGATCTTCTCATGGATGCACAATCTTCTAAACCTCTTTCTAAACAAATGCATATCAAACATAAGTATTCAATATTGTTTAAAAGAACTGAAATGCTCGAAGGGGTAAAAACAAAATTTACTAATAATTTAAACACATATCTTATTTAAACGAATAAATGAATGAAGATACCCTAACAGAATATAGCTGTGTAATTTGAACTCATACCTAATGCAGTTCAATGATTCACACAGCAGAAAAATGGAATAACAGGGACCAATATGGGAAGTCAACCAAATTTAGCAAACTAGAAAATGTATGAGCAACTACAGGTAATATTTCTCTAAACAGTGATGTTCAGCCAAATCTTGCATAATGCGTGACTGGTCTGCACAACACTTTATGCAGAAAATAAATTTTAGGCCAGAAAGTGCCAAACTTACTTTCTACTGGAAAGATCCATTTATAATTTTTCAATGAAAATTTTCGTATCTTGTTCAGAAAAAAAAAAGAAGAAGAAGAAGAAATCAAATAGTGCAAAATTAACAAGAAACAAGATCACACGTAGAACATGAGTGGCCCCGAAGAAGAGTTTGTGATTTAAAAAGAGGTAAATCACCGAGTTGCATTTGTTAATTGGATTTAAGCTCAACAGATCAAAGTTCCATGAGTTAAGAGGACATTTTTAATCTGAATATTCATGATTTCCAATATGCTTTACAAGAATTTCTTACTTCCTAGAAGCAAAGTACCATAATTGGCACATCATTCCTGAGTCCCTGACAGATCAGTTAAGTCGGGAACAATTCCAGTAGCAGGTAAGTGGGACAAGGTCCAAATTCTTGGTTTTAAAATATATTCTTCAGAGCAGCTAAATCAAACCAACTTGTCACACTTCGAAATGTGAATGTATCCTAAATGGAAAGCAGTTCACAGATCTCCTGATTGTATAACTAACTAGAGACGTGTGATTGTGATTGCTAGAGAATTACACGCAGGTACAAACAGTCCTGCAGCCAAGTCCAAAACTCTTGCATCAGAGCCCCTTCTAGTAATGAACTCACCCTGAATCTTCTGGTATTTCAATGGTGCTGGTGCATGAAAGGAGCGTTTGCAGGATGTTAGAGAAAGTCGTCTTAGATCCACTGTTAGAGGACAAAAGGTGTTTTTTTATTGCAAGCCGGTTCCTTACTGTGTCGTAGCTAATTTGGTTGGAAAGAAATAGAAGCTTTTTGTGTTTGGATAGGTCTTGGAAAGAGGTGGGGTTTTGGGTCATTTTAAAGCCTCTTTTTTGGGTTCATACTTCAAGACTTTTTTGTAATTACCCTTTGTTCTTTATTTGAGGCTCTTTTTTGTAAATTTTGTGTTCTTTTTGTTCCCCCTAATCCCCACCGTTGGTGTGGCCTATATCTTTTTAATGAAAGATGGTTTTCAAATAAAAATAAATAAATAAATCAAAGGGACCACAACCAAATTCTCTGTCAGATAGACCATGATCGCTGTTGGTTTCTGTGCTTATCATCAGCTCGTTTGTAGCCTTCATTTTCTCTGTTAAGGTGAGTAGTGGAGTCAAATAAATATTTTGTACCTCTGACGCCATATCTTCAAATGCAGTCCTCTAAATGTCAGTCAACTGTAGGAGTCTTTTGGCATCATGGTATAGGGTAATATTGAGACATCAGTAAATCTGTGAGAGGAAAACCCTACGTGAGGAGCATATCAAAACAACAAACAATTTAAGCCTGGTGTCTGTTTTACACCACAGTAAACCCTCAACAGTCTAGTTGATCCTTCTCACATGGTGTCAAACCTATTTTTTGGTAACAAACCAGAAACCTTCATTAAAACATGGTGTCAAATCTCTTATAAAGCTTCATCTGAAAATGGCAAAGAAACTCCAGCCCCCTATCAGAAATGGTAATGTGGAGACTGGAGAGACTATGAAGTCTAACTATTTCTTAAAGAAGACTTTTCCTCACATCTGATGTCTTCTTACAAGCGATAGCCAACCATTTTTAAAAATGCATCAAACTCTACCATAATAAGGTCTCCCTATTGTAATCTTCTACTCCAAGAATGCTCCCTTATACCAGCTGGAATGGGCAAGGGGCACACAAATCTGAGTTCTGTACAGTCCCCCCCGGGCAGTCTGACAAATCCCACATCTTTGTACTAGTTTTGGAGATCCCTCTTCATGTGAAGCCAGTAGATGGTCCAATTCCTCTTGATTGTTAATATCTACTGTATATCTTTGACAATTGTATCCACTCCCTATAAAAAGTTAATAACTAAGAACCATAAGGCCTTCACACTTCGTTCATCAGTGATAGTTAGGAGTGATAAAACATGACTGCTGTTTGATATTTCTCATTTGACTTTTCTTATCTCATTTATGAGACTAGGTTTAGTATCTTCTCTCTTTCACGTCAGTAGTGATTAGTCAGGTACTGTAATTAATATCTTTTACCAACTGCATCTCTTGGTTTACTGATGTAAGTTATTTCCTCATGAGCTGTACTTTGGTTTTGAGTTACAATTCTCTACTTAAATGGGCTTACCGTCCTCGATGTAATGCATTGATTACAGAAAATAGAAAAACCAAACTGACTTCTTGTAATTCCTCAAAACTTATTCAGGAGTTGCTCCTGTCTCCTTCAGCCACAGTCCTTGGAGGCTAACTAGATCAGTTAATCCTGAAACAATTCTAGCAAGAAGGCAAGCGGAACTATGTCCCTATGCTTGTCTGCATGTACATTCACTCAGGTAAAAGAAAAAACTATAAGAGCAACACAATTTAATTTGCCATTCTTGGCAATGAGAGAAAATTCTAAATGTGAGGCAGGTATTTCACTATTGCTAAAACTACCACTTTAAGTAATCAACTTCTCAGTTACGTGCTTTGAACCTAAATGGCCACAACATGTACTCTTGACTGCAGTTGTGACCAAACTAGCTAAACAACTACATGTTGGTAAAAATAACTAAACAACTACCGAATCGAATTCCTGCATCAATTCCTAGTCAAACATCGGTGCTGTGAGAATGAGAAGCAAACTGAAGACTAACAAAGTTAAAGGTGCCCATCCCGATGGTCGAGATCAGTTCTGCAGTCAGGAATATGCCCCACAGACGGTGAAGTCAAGAAACAAAGAGGATAAAACAAGATAGAAACTAAATATCTACTCACCTTCAACCCAACAACCACAAGTGTGCACCGCTCCTTAAGCTTTGCGAACTAACAGCTTGTGCAGGCTCAAATGCAGAGTAAAATGAGAAAACGAAATGAAAATTTGGAGTAAATACTTTATCCTGTAAAAAGAGAAGGAAATGATTATTTTATTTTCCGGCAACTAAAGTCTAAGACAATAGTTAAAAAACTAAGGTTAAACTTCCGAGAACCTAAAATCTAACAAATAATTAGTACAGCCGAAAAGGTAGGCATCTGCCCAAATTCTAAAATCTTACAAAATCACCAAAAAGACACAAAATCCCAATACCAAAAATCAAAGATCCGAGGCAAATCTCCAAAGCGACCTCAAGATCCTCAAAGTAGCGAAATATTCACAAGACGAATCAGGGAAAGTTCTGAAAGTCGGCAAGAATCAAAGAATAATCAATGCACGATTGGGTTAACAAGTAAGAAATATGTATGTACAGCTGCAGAGGAATCAGGGAAAATTCAGAGAGAAATTGGCATGCTTTCATATGTCGTAGAGAGAGAAAGGAGAGGGGAAACAACAAAGTGACAAGCAGAGAGTTAGAGATAACATACGGGAGACAGTGAGGATGAGGAAGAGAAAGTATAGCCGCCGCTTGAGATAAAAAGTAACGGCCTCTGAGATCGCTGAAAGGGCAAATTCAGGAGAAAAGAATCAGGAGACAGAGAAGCTCGCCCTCACCTGCTCAACCACTGGACTTATTAGGCCGAGAGAGAGAGAGAGAGAGAGAGAGGGAGATTATTGCAAGCAGACAAAGCCCCTTCTCCTAACATGATCATTATCTCTTTTACCCATCTCACTTTTACACGGCCTCTTCATATCTATCTAATCTACGTATAAACCCAAATTCTGAGAAACCCAAATCAAATTAACGAACACAATTTCTTCTTCTCCAGAGTACAGACTGTAAAAAGAACGTATTGGGTCCCTTTGATTGGACCACTCTCTGGGGCGACTGTGCATGAGAAAGAGAAAATCTGGTGCGAAAAGTTGAATGGCCTTCGGGAACTGTGTGGCGCTGTTTTCTCCTTTGATACTGCTCTGGTCGGCTGCTACTTTACTTTATCCACAGCTAACTTCTTCAAATGAAAGATTCATTAGATGCTAATTGGGTATTGCGCCATTGATAGTTACTTGTTAAGATTCTCCAAAATGGGTATATGCTCTTTCTCTCTCTCTCCCATTTATTATGGTAGTTGTTTAAGCTTTGACATTCTCCATTCAAAAAACAGAATAATTTCTGGAATTTGGAAGAAATTGCATGCAAAACGAGGAAGATTACGGAGTGACTCCTCGATTTCTTGCGTACGGCATAAATGGGATTATATAAAAACCTTCATAATCCAAGTTGAAAGGGACCAGTTATAAATTATAATACGTTAAGATATAACCCTCGTCAAATGAGAAGCAAAAAAAGAGGCACTTGTGGATAAGCAACAAATCAATTAGTTAATAAATATAACAATCACTTTTTAATTTGCATACAATGAAACAAAAGAAAAAGAAAAAGTCGATTATGCCCTTAAGAGTAGCCCTTTTTAGAAAAATGAGAAAATCCCACCCGGTGATATTAAGTATACCCGTTTCTTTTATTAGCGGAACGGATGATGTCGCGATTATAAATAGTTTTCAATTACCACCCACCTAAACTCATATATCTATTATTTTATATTATTCATACCAGTATCTTCAATTTGAGGAATATTTATCGATGATATATCTAATATGAAGTATATCATTCATATATTTAATATAACTTATATACTTTGTATTAGGTATATTAGCTATATCATTGGTGCTATGGGTAGGATTACTGTACTAAGTTACCTAAAGTGACGCCAGAGAAGTGACGTGGGTCGAACCGTCGATGTTAAGCCGGCTGGGTCAAACCACTCAATCCAATCGACTCGATCGAGAGCTAGTCCACCTAAGTCAACCCGAGTAGAATCCTTTTATAAATAAGAGGAAAAGCATAGAGCACGAGGTGTGTGTTCTGTACAACCCTACTTTTTGCTATTCAATTAAACTTTTTGTCTGATTTATGCATCAAAGTGTGTTGAGCTTAGCACTATACCGGTGTGTAGATCTCATGTGTGTGTAGGTGTTCATCGTAGCATTCAACGTTGGATCTCATATCAAATTCCTGCATCAACAAGTGGTACACTTAAAATAAAGTATTATCACTAATATACATAATATATTAATACGAAACCTACAATTTTACTTAGACAAAAATCTTAAATCTAAATAAGATATATTAGTGATATACCTAATAATATGAAGTATATTATTTATATATTTAACGTGACGATATACTTCATATTATATATATTGGTTATATAAGTGATATATCTAAAATTAAGTATATCACTCCTATTCTAGATATATTAATAAGAAACCTACCATATTATTTAAACCAAAATCTTAAACTCAAAGAAGATATACTAGTGATTTGAAGTATATTTTTCATATATTTAGTGTTACTGATGTATAATACCTACTAGGTATAGTAGTTATATTAATAATATACTTAAAATAAAGTATACCACTGATATTTTTAATGCAATGGATAGACTTTATATTATGCATATCAATTATTACTTCATATTATCTATATCAGTTACATACGTGATATATCTAAAATGAAGTATGTCACTAATATACTTTATTTATGGATAAGAAAATTGCAACATTACTTAAACTAATACATTCACCCTCGAATAAGATTTATCAATGATATACCTAATATGAAGTATATCAATACATATATTAGTGCAATTGATATACTTCATATTAGGTACATCAGTTATATACTTTATATTCAGTATGCTTGAACATGAAATTTATTCGTTTAAATCATGAATCTAGTTTGTTTGAAGACCTGCAAAATAAAAATGAGCACTCTGACGCTAAGTTAGTTCGAGTCTAAACTATTTCACTCTTAAGTGTATTCACAGATTCGCGGACGTACTTGAGGATGAATTTGCCTTTGCTATTTATAGAAGACGGTTAACATAATGATCAGCCACAATGCTTTCTCTGGAAAATTAGGCACAATACACAATGTAGGGAGTTAAGCGGTTTATCGAGTTTCAACCTTCGATCTCATGGCTTCTATCTGGTCGGTACGAAATGATGGTTGTCTTTTGACTTCGAACTTCCAATTTATGAATATTCGAACCACACACCAAGTTCCAAACACGATACATAGTCCACTATTTTCCACACCACAACATGGTATATAAGTTATATAATCAAATATATTAAATATCAAGTACTTTGTTAGGGCAAAATTGTAATTAAAAGAAATGAAAAATCATATTTTAAAATTTTGATCATATTTGTAAAAACTTAAAAACTATTGCTATATCAACGAGCATGGCAAATATTTTTGGCACATCGTATTACAATAATGGCTCGTCTTGAGTTGAGGTTGGCGCAGTCATTTCTCTTCACTGCGACTTCCTCCTATTTTGTATTTGTACTTTTGTAACGTACCAAAACGCTTATTTACCATTCCTGCCCCTCTCTCCTTCTACCAAACTCACAATCTTATTATATGAATTTGAACTTTAAATCATTTAACAACTTTGTATTTTGAATTTTATTTTTGTTAGTACTGTACAAAATAAAACAATACATGCAATATACTACATACATCTTTAAAGTAAATATATATTGTATTTCTTATTTTATTATTTGATTTTATATCTACTATCTACTTTATTTTAACACTTCATGTCAGATCAACTAATATTTTTCTTTCAACGTGAACATAAATATATCAACATGAACATAGCTCATAATGTCGTCTAATTCTTCCCTTAAGGTTAGAGGTTCGAACTTCATACCTTAATTTGATAATATTTAAAAAAACATGAACACAATTCAACTAAAAATCAAGACATTATTTTTTTTTAATAAAGATTAGAGCATTACTTACCTTCCTTAGATATCGGAAGTTTGAATATTCCTACAGTAAAGACTAATATTTATCCAATAAACTTGCTGCTATTATTATTGCAGTTCGATTTGAAAGACTCCATAAAATTACAATTAAAAATTCCTATTCGAAAACTAAATTTATACTTCAACCATTTATTGTTACGTACGATTTCAAGCATGCATCTAATCTCTCGAAGTAAAAGCACATGCCAAAGTTCTTTTTTTTCCCCTTTCTTTTCGTTTGGTTTATTTTCTAAAATAACTCTCATCCAATTTTCAAAACTGTTTTTTTTTTCTCTTTTTTTTTTTTGGCACTTCGAAAAAAGGCTTGTTTTCCCATTGATACAGCACGTGCAAGTCGGATCAAATTGTAAAATTTTTGGCCTTTTTTAGTCGAAATGTTTGAACAAACTTATAATATCACTCCTGCCACTTGCCAATTCCATTTTGATCTCTTATTATAAAGTTGTCCAAAGTTATTTACTTCATGTAAAAACTAAGCACACATCAACGCATGATATCTTACTGGACACTTTAAATTATATCATAAGTTTATCAACCTATACCAATAATTTAGAGTAAAAAGTGTCGTTAGTGAACCATCAATGATTAATAAGATTTAATCATAGTACATAAATTAGAAAAAGACAAAAACCCAACTTAACTCACCAAGTATAAAGGCGGAGATATATAATTTTACTTAAATATATATATATATATATATATATATATATATATATATATCAAACTAACCTAATTTTGCACCTTTGGGTGTTGGCGCAGTGGCAAGAGACTACATCTAAGATTCAGGTTCGAGCCCTTCTGCCAACACCCGAATGGTCTAAAAGCTTTTTAGGGAAGGAGATGGAGCTCTAAATTTGGACCAACCAAAGGGGCAAAAACTGAAAATCTAGGTTGGCAAAACGTATGAACAAATTGTGAATCCATAGGTAGAAAAGGACCCATGTCTCCAGCAACCATGTGGGTGACAACCGATAGCCTAATTTATCCATCTTAGGTTGCCATTTTCTTTTTTTTTTTCTTCTCCCATTAATTTTTAGTTCACAATTTTAGTTTGCCAAGTCGCATTTAAGTACTTCAACGTATGTCTTTGTCACATTCTTCATTGCATAGGTACCAAGTCCTCAAAAAATCTTGTAATAAATGACATATTCCATCTGGGGAAGCTACTATCTGAATAAAAATCAAGGTTTAACTAATATATATTGCTTCTCAAATCATTATTTTTTAGAAAAAATTATTTAACAAAAACTTGATATAGCACTCATTTGTTCATTTATGTGCTGAATAAGACATCTACATGAACAAGTATCTAAAAGTATAACTTATTAAAATATATTTATATTTTATGTTAAATAACTACTGAAAAAAAAAATCATTTTCATGTGAAGACTGAAGACCTAAAACAGACATCTCTAAAAATTTAAATTAAATCGAAATAAGAACAAATTTTGACCTCAAAAATCAACCACAAATACATACCCTCCGCCATTCTCCCTGTAATAAACAAGGACTCGAAAGCTATTTGAATCAGTCAGACCAAAAACTTGTGGCCCAAATTTCACATGATCAGGAACTGTGAATAAAAGTGATATTGGAAAATCACTCGAAAATTATCGTGGAATTTGTCATTTTAAAATAGTAGTGATTTTGAGATTAGTGAATGATCCTAATCACACTAAAATCACTCTCAAATATGCCCTAAGCTATTTTTTTTAGAGGGATTTTAAATCACTTCGATTTTGACAATGATAATACAAGGCGTTGCTCAAAGCATACTGATTCGCCCCCAGAGAAGCTCTGTACCAAGTTACGCAAGAGAAATCACAAAGTGTTGCTTTTATTTCATTTTATCTTTTCGAAGTCTTACAAGAATTTGATGCTCCTAGTTTTCACCAAGTCCTCAAATACCATGTAAAATCAAATAGTCTGTCCTCCAAGAACCTAAAAAAAAAAAAAAAAAAAAAAAAACTCGTGTCCTGTAAAATAGGTTTAATTTCCTATACATGACCTTACCTGGATAATTTTGGATGAAAATGTGACTGTTTCTAGGTAGCAGGGGACATCATCAGATACAGTGTCATTCACATTGTGCTTTAAAAACAGACGGGGCGTAGAATTTAACACACAAAAAATTAGAGACTCGCGAGACTCCTCAACACGACGTAAATAAAACAACAATTTGGGTATCAATATACTCGGTTGCTGACAGTTTGAAACAGGGATTTCAACTGGGTGTTCCATTTATCTACAGCAGTATACTTCTTCATTCCCTTTGACCTGCAGGGTTACCAATTACGCTTCATATTCCTAATTTTCTGCATCCTTTGAAGAAAATATCAACAAAGAACATACCTGTCACCGCGCTCCAAAAGCCGGTTTACTTGATCGATGTGACCATCAATGCGATTATCCAGGATTAGTGAAACTAATAATTGCTCAACATCTTTCTCCGGCACATTAAGCTCCTGGTAAGCATAAAATTTTATTATTAATAAATAATAATAATAATAACAAACCCTAGTTAGATTCTGTTTCCTTTCTTTTTTTTCTTTGGGTGGGGGATAAACATCATATTCACAGCCCCATACAGACGGAACCACACACGGCATTGTGCAAGTTTCAATCACACACCAGATATCAAGGAATGGTGAAGGCTGGTTTCTGAAAAGGAAAAGAGAAAAGACACAAACACAGAGCTAAAGATACACCTTTGATATGAATGGAATCCGAATTCTTGTGTAAGGCTTGATAAGTTTGAGCAACACTTGGGTTCTAACATTCTTCAACAAATCTTCAATGTAATTCCGAATGAATGGATCGTCCATTATTGTTTTTCTATTGCTCTGCCATTAAAGGAATATAAAAAATAAAAATAAAAGAGAGGAAGAAGGAAAACCGTGTCATCAAAGCTGAACCAGGGAGGGGGGAAGTAGAGCTGGAAAAACGCATACATCTATTTCCCAGTTACCTTGAGAATTTTCTCAAACTCAAGTATCTCATTCCTTTGGTATGCTGCAATAAGATTAGTCATTGCCAAAATCTCGGGGTCATTTTTATACCTGCAAACTATATATCAGGGGGAGAGCAAAAGAAACTTAAAGCAGAACTCATAGTTGAAACTTACGGCTTTGCCTCTTGACCGTCAAATGGATTGACCTCAGATTCCATCAGCATAT